TAATGATTGTATTATTGCTGAACTCTTACAATAAGGAATGGTGGACCCATATAATTGCTCCTCTGTTCTCCTACATTAATCACACTACACAAATACCAGAGAACTGGGGTTTAGCCATTATAGTGCCCATTTATAAAGAGGCTCATTGTGAATTGCCTGCTAACTATTAGTCCCTAAGCCATTTTAGATTAGTAAGTAAGCTTTATTTATTTATTCATTTGTTTACATCCTGTCCTTATTATTTTCACAAGTAACACAAGCCAGCGAACATATCCAACACACCTTCCTCCTCTTATTTTCCCCACAACAACCACCCTATGAAGCGAGTTGGGCTGAGAGAGAGTGACTGGCCCAAAGTCACCCAGCTGGCTTCCATGGCTAAGGCAGGGCTTAAATTCACGGCCTTTTGCTTTCTAGCCTGGTGCCTTAACCACCAGACCATATTGGTTCTCTCTGGCTCAGGTTTTATGCTAAACATCTCCGCAACAAATTGATTGGATTAATTAAATGAGCAAGCAGGCTTTAGAACTGGACACTCCATCCTGGTACTTGCCCTAATATAGCAACATTAGGATGAAAAATATTTATCTAAGACAAGCTCTGTACCATTTGCCACATCCCTTGACATTAAGTCTGCATTTGATCTCATTTCCAGAACAAGGCTGTGGATAAATTTAAACATTGGTGGAGGACCTGTCTATTGTTGTCAATATATATCTTTTATAAGAATTCCAGAATAAAGGTTAGTTGCCATTTGCAGGGACATTACAATAAAGAGACCCCAATCTGGAGAAAAGTGAGACATTTAACTTAATTATTTAATTCAATTTCTATAACCTCCCATCTCAATCGATGACTCTGGGTGGCTTATAATTTAAAGATATTTGATCATTTGATCTTCCATAATCAGTCTTTAAGTAGATTTTCCACATTAGAAGATCTTTCTTTTGGCAACAGATGTCTTCTCATGCAATTCTATTGGTCATAGCAATTCCATGATCTAAACTAGGTACTGTAACACACCTAGCTTGGGTAATGAGACATCTGAAAAAAAAACAAAAAACAACCAAGCTCAGTACCAATGACCCCTCATTTCAATCCTGAACTACAAATATTCTTCTTTATCGATAGAGTAATTTTACTTTAATTTTTGTGGTCTTTACAACTGTAAACAAAAGCTGCTCACATTCAGCTTACTGCTGGACAAGTTAATATTTTTTCAGCTGCTAGTTCTTCTAATATTTCTAAAGCTTTGTTTGATAAAAATGGTTCAGGCTTATTAATGCTCATGGTTCCATAAATCTGTCTCATCTTTCTTGCTGTATGCAGGAAAGAAAATACTTTCTTAAAGAATCTAATGGGCAATTATTTCAAGGTTCCAGATTTTAGTAACAGAATTCAAAAACAATGAATTGAACAGGAACCTTTTTCCAGGAAGAAAAAACAAAAGCATTATGTTTACAAGTCTCCTTTAAAAAGTCAATGACCCATCCTGTTACTCATTACTAAGACTGCCAAATGAAGAAAAAATGTTTTGCTTTGAAATAATAATCTTTAATGATTAGGCACAAGGCCATATCAGAATGCAAAATATAGAACAATAAAATTATATATAACAAAATAGAGCAAAGAGTAGAATTAAAAGGAAATGCAAATAATTTCTGTCGTATCCCAATCAGATCCTTATATGCAATTCTCAATGATACTGTTTTATTCAGATAAAAAGAAACATTTCTGTATATTTCAGTTCTGAACATACATGAAATATATTGTTTTAATGTATGGATCCCAAAAGGCCATTTGTCTAATGTGTAATCCAATATATTGATCTTTCTCATATAACTGGAATTCAAGAATATATGTGCTATGTCCTCCATCTCTGGTGCTTTAAAAATACATGACAAGGAACTTGGTTAACATATTTAACCATTTTATCTAGCTGCTTAAATCTCACTTCCATAAAATAGCCTCCTGGAACATGAGTATTCCTGAATTTAAGTATTTCCCAATCTGAAAGGTACATTTATAGTGGCTCATCCATTTGAATGTATTGACCTTATTGCAAGTAGCGATATCTATTCAAGCTTCTACAGCTAATCCTTGACTTATAACCATTTGTTCAACAACCATTTGAAGTTATATCAGGGTTAAAAAACTGGATTTATGATCCGTGCCCAAAGCTCTGTGCCTCCATGATCATGTGATCAAAATTTGGGTGTGTGGCAGCAGCTTACTCACACTTATGATGGCAAGCGTGCTTTCACTCCTCCATGTATATCCCAGCACTTTGCCTCACAGAGCAGCAAGCAGACCCAGAACCACATGGCTCTGTGGCTGATCTTTTGCCTTTTTCATCCAGCCACTGTGGCCAAAGCAGAAGTGCCTTGCTACCTTTCCTATCTCCTTTTCGGATCCAGCTACTCATAGATTTATGAAGACAATGTAACTTTCCAAAGACAGCACTCAAGAACTCATGTGCAGGAAACCTTATACAAAGAAGTTGGGTCCAAAAAGGAGATAGCAAAAGGCAAAAGGTCAGTGTAGGGAAATAGGAAAGAAGGCAGCTGGATGAACAAATGTTTGTTGGGGTTTGCTGGGATGGACTGGGACTTCCTGGGGCATGGCAAGCAGCCCGAGAGCTGCACAGTTCTGGGGCTGCTTGCAGAGAATCAAATCCAGAGTAGCTTGATGAGGCTGGTTTATTGCTTAATGACCTGTGATTCTGTTAACAGCCACAATGGGATGTTGCCGCCAGGATTGCCAGAGTAAATCAGTATGGTCACATGACATCTTTACAACCGCACCTACTTATGATGGCAATTCTGGCATTCCCTGTGGCAATAGTAAATCAAGGACTACCTATATTATTTGTTTAGCGTATGGCAATATACTAAATAAATGTGTTTTAAGCCAGGAGATCACAAAGACTGTCACACTGCCATTGAATAAACAGTTGATTCTGTGTTGTTGCCCAGGGGATGCCAGAGTTCAGGATTCCTATACTTTTCAGGGATGCTTCTTCCTTGTCCCCCACCACCTATATAATAACTATTAAAAGCATTAAAATGTATAAAAGCAAAAGTAAACAAGAAGAGACGGGGGAAGTTATTAATAATGGAGCCAACTCACAAGTTCATCCATTGTCTGGGGTCCCCAGGCCTACTGGCAGAATCAGGTTTTGAGGGACCTATGAAAGCTCTAGAGTCATGAGCCTACCTCATATTTGTGGGGGAGAAGATTTGAGAGCCACAGCAAAATGTACCGTAGTTCCCTGAACAGCAGAATGAGTAACATGCCCATTCGGTTGGTTCGGATGGGATGGGCAGATGAAATAGGGAAGAGGCAATTCCTCAAATAAATGAATATCAAAGCTAAGTTGAAATGTGAGCTTCACTAAAATGTTTGGGATCTCCAAGTCATTTGACTTAAATGCTTAATTTTGAGTATATTATAGAACTAAAGTTGATTATCATTTTTAGAATCAAAAGCAATATTTAATTTTTCATCAGTAACATTTAATCAAATGGCTCTGAAATTAGGAATGAGAAGTGTCTGTCATTCCCAGTAATATTAATTAAAGTGTAATTTGAATGTATTACCTCTATTGTTAAGTTCAATAAAATATGCTTTACTACATTAAAGCTTTCTGATCTTTCTGTTTTGTTAATTTTTTTCTTCAAAAAGCCCCATTTCAACCATTTTCATACAATTCTAGTTATTTGTAAAAATGTTTTCTTTGGGCATGATTTTATCATTGCATAAATCCTTTCTAGTTTTGTGGCTGGGAAATGGGGATGCCAGGCTTTTTCCCCCCTACTAAAATAAGTAGTTTTGCCCAGAACAAGTAGCAGAATTTATGTCTTTAAATAGAAGATTTATGTCTTATTACATTTATGTGCAGCTGGCGAGTTTCACTGGTTTGGCTGAGCAGAGCGCGTTCCAGCAGGGCCTGGAAGGGAACACAGAAGGCGGTTTCCATGGGAGTTTTGTATCTTTTTGCATCAAGCCCTTCCAAGGCTAAAAAATGCTGAATTTAGCTGACCAGGCTGACAAAGAAGTGGACACTGTGGATAGGTTTACCTTGCCTGTGTGTTTTTGGGATGGTAAGGTGTTAATGAATGCTATCACATCTGGTCTGCAAAATTCCAGACAGCCCCTAAATAGCAGCTTTCTACTCTCTATAGTAATACTCATCAAGACTTTTACAACCTGTATCAGGTAACCCAGGTTAATAGAAGTATCATATAGAAAGGACTATAATTTCTAACCTCTGTTACAAATATCTCAAACAGACTGTGCTGTACAGGTAGTCATTGATTTACAATTATTTGTTTAGTGACGTTCAAAGTTATAAAGGCACTGAAAGAAGTGACTTACAATCAGTACTCACACTTAAGAGCATCACAACATTCCCACAGTCATGTAAACAAAATGTGGGCACTTGGCAGCAGGTATGTATTTACAATGGTTGCAGAATCCTGAGATCATGTGACTTGTGACCTTCCCAACCATCCACCAGGATAAAATAAGTTAATTGGGGAAGCTGGATTTGCTTAACAACTATGCCAAAATGGTCCTAAAATGAGGAGCGACTCACTTAACGACCACCTTGCTTAAGGGAAATTCTGGACCCAGTTATAGTCGTAATTCGAGGACCTGTTCTTACAACTATCCTTTAAAAGGGAATGCTTTTTACACAATCCTCGAATCTGTGCTTAAAAAGCAATCACCAGGGAACGGTCTACCTGGCGACGGGGAAAAGCGCCCAGCGACCCGCAAAGGCTTTGTTTTGCCACGTTTCGCGACGGCCGACTCGCACGGATTTCGTGTTTGCGGCTGAAAGTACGCCCAGCCCCGAAGCCGAAGCCCAGCCACCTGCGATTCCTCTCCTGCCTGCGGTTCTGCCCCAGCCCGCTCGGCATTCCTCAAGTGCCAACCTGGTCGCCGCCCGCCCCGCCGGCTCCCTGGCTGCTGACCGGGCTCCCGCCTTTCCGGACTGACTCCCTCCCTTCCTCCCTGTTTGCTCCCAGTCCTCTGCCCAAACGCGACTTCCTCTTCCTTTCCGAAGCTCCCGCTGTCCGCCCTGGTTCGGGCCGGACTGCCCTCTGCAGATCGCGGGGGGTGGGAGCGCACTGCCGAGCCTGGCGCGGCCGGGAGAACTCTGGCGCGCTCTCTCCGCCCCGCCCCCCCCCCTCCCGTCTCTTTCTCTCTCTCTCTCTCGTCTCCCTCCCGAAGTGCCGCTCCTCCCGAGGGACGCAACAGGAGCCAGGAGCTGGCGGGCTCCGAAGACGAAACAAAGCCCGGTCGCTTCGTTCGCTCCCCGCTTTCTTTTCCTCCCGCTGCTTAACTTAGTTGCGTCTTTTCCGATCCCGCCGCGGCTTCTTCTGAGGACTTTTTCTGCCTTGTGAGGGCTACTCAGCAACCCCGAGAGGTAAGGCGCAGAATGGGTCGAATCTGCCCTGGTAACTAGTGGAATGGCGTGGGAAACGAGGACCCCCTTTAGTTCAGTGGAGGGGAGAGCCAGAGGGGAAATGCGGGGTCCCTCCGAAGGCGAGGCTCTTTTCTCCTGTTCCCCCCCCCCCCGTCGGTCCTATTGTAGAAACCATTTGGAAAAGGGTTGCCAGAAAAGAGTCACTTTTGGCGTCCGGGAGTGGGGGCTGGAGAAACCGGCTGCTTTCTTACAGCCCCTCTGCCGAGCATCAGCTGAAGCACAATGCTGTATTGAAGTAATCTCGTTCCAGATAACACACTGAACTATAAAGTAAACACACTGGCTGGCTGGCACGATAGGCTTACCTCCCATGTAGCCAGCCACATTTTCACTTAGCGTCTTGGACGAAGCGAGGCTTAACATTCTCACTCGGGGGCGGCGGGGGAGGGAACAGCTGATTTCCGAGGTGTTAGTTTTCAAAGACGAGAATGGCCACGCAGATTGTTCCCATTCCTTTGGGGGCGTAACGTTTGTTTTTTCTAGTAACCCCTAGAGATCAATCTTTGCCTTGCTTTTTTCCTTTTTTAAACATCCAGTCTCCCGAACCGGGTATCTTTTGTCCTTCTCCTTTTTTTTTTTTTTTTTACTATCACAAAGTATTGCGAGGTTTTGTGTTTGTTTGTTTTAAAGTCAATTGGTTATCTTCTGGATTTTATTTGAATCGGGGAAGATAGCACATGAAAGAAACGGTTGTTTACTATGAATTGCCTCCTTAAAGGGGAAGGATGATTCCATGAGTTTGCTGTATAAAAATCAGTATGCTATATAAAGCATTTACTTCCTACCAGGCAAATGTATGAGGGCTCTCTCATAGTCTTTAGATTAGAGATCCCACATTGTACAGAACTGTAAGATCATGCTTAGAATAGAACTGGACTATGCAGTTTCTTGAGCTTGTTACATATTGGCCAAAACATGCCACAATAAATTTGTGCTGAATCCCTACTGTTAATGGGGAATCCTACATAAAGGCCTGTAATCTAGTCCTTCCCTATAGTGCTAATAAAAAAGTTATGTAAAAGTTTTGATTGACTAACCCATGATGAGTCAATATGTGTACCTACTTGTCTCGTTCTCATTCACCCATATTGCTACTAACAGGAGGATAATATGAACCTACCATGAATTCCTAATTTTGAGGAACATGATTAAGCTGTCTAAGTATCCAAGTAGTATGAATGAGAATGGTGCTTGTTTGCTGAATATTTGCTTAGAAAAAATGTGTTATGAATACATATTATAGCAAAAGTTTATGCATAAACATAGCAAAAGAGTGAATCTAAAAGTATACTTGAATTGATAAGATGAAAGCCTGAAAGAATTAACAAAGGATACAAGAGTGATGAGAAGTTCTGAGTTTTTGGTAGAGTTAAGAGTAAATCTTAGGAAAGAGAAACTACAGTGAATCAGGGTGGATAAAAATCAATTATTTTTTAAAAAAAATCAAAAAAATCAGATTTTTTTAATTTAAATCGGATTTTTTTTATTTAAATTGGATTTTTTGATTTTTATCGAATTTATTTTAATAAAAAACTTTTGGGGTAAAAATCTATCGTATGATAGTTTTCTATTTAAGATACATAAATAATTTAGTTTATTCAGCATGAAATGGAGCTTAGTTATGTAGCATGAGGCTGTATATTCTGCAACACTGGGACTATCGGTGAGTCAACAGTGGGTCAAAGGAGTAGCAGAGATGACAGTTGCTCTTTAAAAATTATGATTTAAATCGAGTTGATTTAAATCAAGCCTTTTTACTAGTGATTTAAATCATGATTTAAATTGTGATTTAAATCAACTCGATTTAAATCAAATCCACCCTGCAGTGAATACAGAGGGACTGTAAGAACAGATACTGTAACTCCTGTATGACAAGATTAAAGTCCTTAACAGAATGAATGGAAAGTGGATGTAATGAAAGAGGGTGTGGGAAACTGCTTGGACAGAGTGAACAAACTTACATTACAAAGTATTATAGAGCTTTGTGTTATTAACATTAGAACGCTGGATGAGTGAGAAAGAAAAGAGAACAAAAAAGTCAACATGTTGTTTGCTTATAGAAAGAAAAATATAATTGGAAAAATATAGTGAAAGAAAGCAAAGATTAAGATTAAAAGAAGATAGAGAATGCACAATACAGGTAGTCCTTGATTTACAACCAGTTATTAAGTGAATCATGCAGTCATTAAGAAAATCTGGCTTCCCCTGTTAACTTTGTCAGAAACTGACTGGGAACGTTGCAGGTAAAGATCACATGACCCTGGGATGCCACAACCACCATAAATACATGCTGGTTGCCAAGCAACCAAATGTTGATCATGTGACCATAGAGCTGCTGCAACGTCATAAGTGGAAGGATTGGTTGTTAGTCACTTTTTTCAGTGCTGTTGTAACTTTGAACAGTCACTAAATGAGTAATTGTAAGTGGAGGATACCTGCAATTTTGATAAAAATTATAATTGTTTTGGAAGTGAGTGTGAAATTGCTAAATGAGGAGCCTCCAGCAGAATGAAATGAAGCATTTTTTTTAAACGATTATATAACGCTGGATGAAACTGAAGGGAATGCTGGAGTAATGAATCATTATTTTAGAGATTTGTACAGGAATGATGGTGATACAGGTGGTCCCTGACTTACAACCGCGATTGAGCTCAAAATTCCTGTTCCTAAACAAGATACTTGTTAAGTGAGTTTTGCCCCATTTTATGACTTATTTTTCCACAATTCTTAACCAAATCACTGCAGTTGATAAGTGAATCATGCGGCTGCTAAGCAAATCTGACTTCCCCCATTGACTTTGCTTGACGGAAGCCAGCTAGGAAGGTTACAAATTATGATCACATGACCCTGGGACAGTGCAATGGTCATAAATATATGCCAGTTGCCAAGCAGCCAAATTTTGACATGGGGATACTGCAATGGTCATAAGTGTGAAAAACGGTCATAAGTCACTTTTTTAGTTCTGTTGTAACTTCAAATGGTCACTGAACGAATGTAATCCGTAATCCGAGGATTACTTGTATGTCAAAGACTAGAATTTAAATCAATATAATAAATGTTAAAAAGAAAAAGTCATAAAAACTGTGAGAATGTTGACAAAAGATAAGGGCGCAAGTATAATCTACAATGGGAAAAATGTTAAATTATGGGTATGATTTGCTAATGCAATAGCATTTTGCTTAATGTTGTTTGTATTTCATGCATGCAAGTTTTATATATGCCCAATCATTGGAAGAATGTTGCTATTGTTGGCTATTCAAAACAAAACTTATCAAGAATGAATGCAAAAAATGACAAGGGGATTAGTCTGTTAAGTATGCCTGGGAGGGTGCTTGTCAGAATTCTGATAGAAAGTAAATAAGAGGTGTCAGGGAACAAAATTTGAGAAGTGGCTTTCTGGCACATAGGGTCTCTGCAAATGTATTTTTGCTCATCAGGTTATTGAGAAATACATGAATGTGAGATCTATCATATGTTGCTGTTTTAGACCAAGTGTATGATGAATAGATTTTGAATTATGGAATGTTGTATGCAAATACAGAGTGGGAGTTGTGCTGAATATAAGAGCAATATATGAAGAAACTATCATGAGAATAGATGAAGCATTTATCAAATTGAACAGTAAGTAAAGAATCTAAGTCTCCTTCATTGTTTAAGGTATTCAAGATAAATATACAATGAATACTTGTGCTTGCACACAGTGAGAGTGTCAGATGAGACATGGAGGTTAGTGGGCAATGAAAAAGTTTTGGGATGGCACATTGATGTCTGCCAGTACCATGTTGCATACCCTGTGCTAAAATTAATATCCTTAATAAGACTAGTGTATTGTAAGTGGTTAATGCATCTGATACAAGAAACCAATTCCAGTGTAGTCTTAATGAGATTTTCACCTCAGAGATTACAAGGGAAAGAATATTGTATCTTAGCCAATAATGACTTTCCTTATGGACCAAACTTTCATCTGTCTGAGTCTCTTACTTCAGGCTATCAGATCTTGACCCACATTTCTAGGTGACATCTCTTTTTACTTTCATACATTGGTCTAGATCCGTGATGGCAAACCTATGGCACGAGTGCCCGAAGTGGCACATGGAGCCATGTCACCTGGCACGTGCGGCATCACCCATTCCTCTTCTGGATTTCTGGCGCACATTGCACGCATGATGATCAGCTGGCCTTCTTGCGTGCAGCAGTGCCAGAAATTGGAAGAGCTGGTCTGGTCTTCCATTTTCCTGCAAGAGCATGTACGCTAGTCAGCTGATTGTCGCATGTACATGTGCACCAGAAACCCGGAAAACTAGCTGGCTGGCGTGCACACCAGAAACCAGAATTTCATTTTCAGGTGGGCGCATGCGCCCTGGCCAGCTCCTCTTCCAGGTTGTGGTCCAGATGAGCGTGTGCTCCCTTTTCAGCATTCGGTGCCGAAAAGATTCGTCATCACTGGTCTAGATTTTTGGAGCCTAGATCCCGAAGCTCTATTATGATGGAAAGTGATGGAAAATTTTGTTACATAATAAGTAGGAATTGTAAGCCTTGCTGCAGGTTGGAGCTAGCTAGCTATATCATTTTTTCTAATGGTTTCATGCTCCTTTTTCTCCTGGCATTCTAGAGTTCCTTTGCTCAATGTTGTATCACTATGAAGTATTCTTAATTTTCTTTAGCTTGTGCTTGCTTTTTCTTCATCTTAGGCTCTTTTACCCTTGATGTATCTCTGTGCTTTTGCAAAACCTGGGGATCCTTGATCCTGGAAATAAGGTCATTTTGGCTACATATCAGTTTCCACTCTCTTTTGTTGACATGGCAAGGAAATTGATGCTCCAATCTTTTTATTCTGTATCCCTGCTTACAGGTTTTCCATGGCTTCAAGCAGGCTTTCCATACCATTATGTTTTTATATGCATGCTTTGAATTTTATTGTTGGATCACTTTTGAAGAAT